CGGCACGCATCCGACTGGAGCACCTGTTCCCCAGGTCCCACCTCCCTCTCCGCCAACTCCCCCTCCCCCTCCTCCAGCCTCCAGGCTCGACCGAATGTATATCTCCAAGTCGGTATCCAGCAGGGTCACTGCTGCAGCCTACACCTTTATCCAAGACTCCATCTCTGATCATGGAAGGGGTCCGCTCTGCACCCTAACTTTTCACAACCCGAACGCCGCTCCCAGACCTTGGCAGTTCCCTCAGCAGCTGATCCACAAGCCCCATGTCCATTCTCTGGTTACGGACTTCGTGTCTTCCCTACCTTCCCCACTCCTACCGGCTCAGTGGGATGTTTGTAAGCAAGTATTTGCTTGCAAACTCAAATCCTATACCCGCGAGGAACGGGTTCGAGTCGCCAAGACGGTCACTCATATGCAGGATGAGGTATGTGAGCTGCAAATGCACTTACTGAAGTTCCCCGGTTCGGTATCCGTCTCCCGCAGACTGGAACAGCAACTGCAACGTATCCGTGATTACAACTGCGCCCGCTCTGCTGAGATCGCCCTGAAAGCCAAGCTAAAAGTCGAAGGCCCGCGGGAGATGGGCATTGCCTCACTCATGGCCGGCCTGAATAGGAGGGTCAAAGACTCTCGGATCCCTCACTTGCAGCTTCCGTCTGGTGAACAGGTCACGGACCTTATCCCTATGACTCAGATGTGTACCACGTTTTTCAGCAACCTCTACAATGGCAGCACGCCCATCATCCCCTCCGCCACATTTTGGAATCATATATACCCCACTTCTCTCCCATCCGCTTGTTGTGCAAGCCTAGAAGCTCCTATCGGCATACCTGAAATTGAGCGCGCGGTTGGGGCTTTGGCGAAGGGGAAAACCCCAGGAATTGTCGGTCTCCCTGCCGACCTCTTCCGAGCACACAAAACCGTGATGGTCCCAGCCATCCGTAAGCTGTTTGTCAGCATCCAGTCACACAATTGTGTACCTCCCACCATGAGCGAAGGTCGCACCATCCTCATTCCTAAGCGGGGCAACTCGGCCCTTGTGGAGAACCTCCGCCCCATAACACTCATGAATGCGGACTACAAAATCTTAGCCATCACTCTCGCCAATCGCCTACAAGCTGTACTCCCCCGCATCATCCACCATGCACAAACCGCTTTTATTAAAGGTCGCAGAATCGGCGACACCATTAACGACACACTAGATATCATGGACTGGGCCTACACAAAGAACCTTCCCCTGCTAGTCCTCACGGTGGACATCCAGAAGGCTTACGATATGGTTGACAGGGAGTTCCTGTTTCGATGTCTCGCTCATCTCGGTATTCCAGCCGGTTTCATCACGTGGGTCCGCAGGCTTCACTCCAATACGCACACGCACGTATCAGTCAATTATTCAACCGGCCCCCGCTTCCGAGTACTCACCGGGGTTTGACAAGGATGCCCACTCGCCCCCCTGCTGTTTGTCTGTGTTATAGAGGTGTTGCAGAGACACCTCGCCGCGTCTCTTCCTGGATTCGTAATCTCGCCTACCCAGCGCAGGCTGTTGGCCTGTTACGCCGATGATGTTTCTATCTTTCTCAATTCCGATACGCAGTTACAGACCGCTAAAACATGTCTTGAGTCCTTCGCGCAATGCTCTGGGGAACATCCCAATTGGGATAAATGCGCTATCTTACCATTCAACATTGATAGTTCCACCATCTCCAACGCTGGCCGAATACCAATCCGCAAGCCGGATGAAGCAGAGCGGATCCTGGGTATTTTTGTAGAGCAAGACAAGCCTGGACACACAACCTGGGAAAACATCCTTGCCAAAGTGCGCACAACCGCAAATGCCCTATCACGACTGCACGCTACAACTACCTGTCGGAGTATGTTCGCCACGGAACGTATGGCTTCGGTCTATGCTTTCAGCGGCCGGTTTCAGCCCTCTCCAACACACATCGAGACCAACCTCGACCGGGTGGTGGGTGTCTTCCTATCCTCATCCAAATACAAGGAGGAAGGGCGTGCGCAATGGTACATTCCCAAGCGCATTTTATATAATAAAAAGAAGCACGGCGGTGTAGGTGCACTAGAGCCTTCTAGACACCTTACCGCGCTCAACATCCAACGAGCAGCCCGCCGCTTCTTGCCCACCCCATATGAGGATACCGCCCGGGAATGCGCCACCCTTCCCTATGGCTTGCATTGCTACCTCGCCCACCCTGACATTCTCAAGCACTTACCCGAATCCACCCCAGCAAGGGCGTACGCGGAACTAAAAAGTCTTTTGGAGGCCCCGGCGAAAGTATCTGGCCCACGGCTGGAACCATGGGTCTTAATGGCGGAACCAGTGGCCTTCAACCGGTTCATTCACAAACCGGATGAAGTACCCTTTGGTCGACTTAAAAACGAGTCCTTTCTGCTGGAAAAGCAAATCCGGATCGGGGACTTACTAATCCCTACCCCAGGAGGATCCCGCCAGCTGGCTCCGTCAGAGTTTCGAGCCTCCTACCCGCCAAAAAAGTACCCAGGTGGACTACGGATCCTGCTGGCCATTTACAAAGCAATACCAGACGACTGGTGGGCGGTCCTCTATGATTTCACCCCACGTCCTGACTATCTTCACAAGAACGATTGGGCTTTTGAAGCTTCCCCAACGTCTCAACAGCCACAGCTGTTACGAGTCACGCAAATTTTAGACGGAGGACTGGTGAAGTTTGACTGCCACGAGGTGACGCAGGGGAGACAGGTTACCAGGACACCCTTCGGAAGCACGACCCTACCAGCAGCGGCAGTCATCACAGTGTGCGTGATCGGAAAGTGGCTAGTGGGGACCTTCTGCTCAGGAGCGGCTCTCGGCACACGCCATGAACTACTGCGGCAACGACCTTCGCTAGCCATGATACGGAAGCATCTTTACTCCCCGCAAGCCCTCGACCACGTTGAAAGGTGGAACGAGTCCCTCTCGTCCCCGCTACACTCGCTACCGTACCTGACTCATTCCTTCCTCAAAGACCAGACCAGCCGACAGCGAGATGTTCTATTTCGGTTCTACACCCGGTCCTTACCTTGCGGCGACAGGATGCCTTACACCCCGTCCAAAGGCATATGCCAACGCTGCCACGCTAACCTCATGGAATGACATACGCACATTTTCTTCGTATGTGACAACGCGCCTACGGTCACCAGCGCTCTGCAACGGGTCGCCCAGAACCACCTGTGAATGTCAATTCCGACCGACTCCGTTTTCTTCCCGATACCCTCCCCCGGCAGACAAATCGCTCCATGGTGCTTACTGGTTGGTGCGGCAGCTACTACGTTGTGGAGGGACCGGTGCTCACAGCGTTACGACAGAATCTCCTACTCCAGTGTAGAAACCCTACATCGCATCTTGGCCCTCTTCCTCACAGCTTGCAAAACATATTTTCTCCGCCGAGGCAAGCCATCCAAGAAACGTATCCGTACCACTACAAACCGAGCCCAAGCTGCCACACGTCACAAATTCCTCCAATTCCTGCCCAATGGGACTCCCCAAATCCACCCAGCTCTGCGCTCTTCCTGGCTGCTCAACAGCCCCTTCCAACCACCATAAACGCAGCTCTTCATCAATTTCCTCCGACACAGAGCGGGCAGGAGAATCTCCTGTGGGTGAACTTAGTTCAGCTAAAGAAACGCTATTGCTTAGCGTAGGCCTCTGGCTTGGGTTACACCTTGTTTAGCCTCTGTGTTGTCTGGGTTACGACCTTAATAAAACTTAAACTTAAACTGGACAGCCAGGTTTGGTCTTTATATTTTTGGGTTGACCAGAAGGATGACAGCGTAGGGATTTGCATTTTCGATGCTAGGGTTTTTTTCCTTTAGAAGGTCGCCTGGCTCACTTTCTTCCACTTGGCACCGAAACGTAATTTGAACCACCGCTTAGTGATGTGCTCCGACTTTACGGAACTCTACGTGCATCAGCTGCTTTTTAGCATAACTGTTTTTATACTCGCTGAACCCCCCCTACTGCTCGCTTTCCCCAAGCATTTGTCACCGTGGAACAAGCGCTTACGGTTTGACGGCCGAATTTCTGTGTCCAATTTGCCGCCATGTCTACAGAAGTCTTCAAGGCGTGCCTTTCATTTGGTGCGTAGATCTAGCAAAAGGTCGCTTCGAAGTCATGTCCTTCTTGACTTTGTGGAAGACATTTCGGGCGGAGTTTTTAGGAATATAGACGTGTGTAGAGCATGGGCAACAAACTCTGTGGGTGCCCGAAATTGCGAATGGTGTCCGAGTTCTTGGAACGCGTTGCTGTCCCCCCGCAGACTTCGCATGGTGAACCGCGGGCGGGGGATGCGGGGAACTCCGCGCTCCTGTATGTCTTTCCTGTCTTGGCGCACCGGACCCTACCGCCCCGCTTACGCGTTCCCTCGCCTCCCCCTACTGCGCGCTGCGGACCGCCTTCTTGTCCCGTGCTCTCTTCTCATGCAAGGCGTTTTGAAATCCAAATCCACTTCCGTCTTTTCAGATGCACTCTCCAACATCGAAACACCGCAGCGGTCTCTGCTTCTCCCCTAACTTCAGCATTCGCCACGTCAAGCCAGTTGCCTCTCCGTGTTCTCCGCTTTTGCCATACGTGTGCATACGAGCTCCTTTGTGCTTGTTTCCATAAATTTCCTTGCTCTACGAATTTCGGGTGCTGCTCGCGTCGCCAAGCCGTCGCACGCTCCGAGCGAAACTGGGTGGTAACTGAGCCTCGACAGCGGCGATTGAAACACTGGATTGCCGTCCGACAGAGTTTTCCATTCTGAATTTCCTATCTTTCACATTTTCCGTACTTCCACTGAAGTCCGTCACAGTTTTCGTCAGCCAGAGTAGCAGCAGTAGTATGCGCTTTACCTGCGGAAGCCGAACCGCGATCGCTACTGTAGTGAGCTTAGATTCTAGAATGTCTTGATCCCCCTCCTTTGCGGAAATTTCGCCATTTATCAGAGTCTAGCGCCAGCAGCATGCGACTCGCCGAGGCGATAAAGCGCATGTCGCAGGATCGCGTCGTCGCAGAAGCAGGTTTACTTCGTGACGACATCGCACGCGACGACGACGACGCGTCCGCCGCCGCCGACGGCAACGACAGTGACGATGGCGGCGGCTGCGACGACGGCGGCGACGAGAACCACCACCGCAATTCTCTCCGCCGCAATGCCGTTGCCGCCGCGGCCAGTCACCGCACCGGCGTGCGTGTCAGTCCGCCGCTCGGAGGAGGCTCTGACGCCGATGCGGCGGGAGGTGCGACGGGGATAGACACGGCATTGGCTGAGCAGCAACGCGGCGGCGGCGCGAGCCCGGATGCTCGGCCGGATTCGAGCGCCATTGCGGCGCTAGTGAACTCGGATGGGTACAGGTGGATCAAGTACGGCGAGAAGCGCATTTGCGACAACACAGCATTCAGGTACTACTAGCTACCTACCTACCTCCTCTTCATCGTCGTCCTCCTCCTCCTCCTCCTCGTTCGCCTCCTCTTACGACGGCGTTGAGAAAGCGAATGCTCCATTTTGCGCGCCGCGTTCGACTCCGCGTTCGCCGTTGTCGAGTCTTCTTATTCCGCGGAAATGGGGTTAATAGCTGTTGAACAGGGTTGTTTTGAGAGATGATCGTTGTTCCTCCGATGCGTTGTTCCTGCTTTCTTCTGAGTCGTTTTCTCCTCTGCACGCAGCGCACATGTGCTCCTACATCTGATAGTCCTTTCAGCCTTAATTAGCGAATCTTCACTTCGAGAGACTCTTGCGCTTCCGCCTTCCCCTCCTCCCTTCCCCGTTACTATTTTGTGCACGTCTCACCCTGCTTGTGACTCCTCCCCTCCGCCCCTGCCCCGCCGCGTTTCCCCCCCAGGGCTTATTACAAGTGCACGTGGGCGCGCGCGCGCGCGTGTTGTCGCGCGCGCAAGATCGTCGACTTCCACCCGGCGCACCCGGACCGCACGAGCATCGAGGCGCGCCACGAGCACAACCACCCGCTCTCCGCGGGGTCCTTCCCCCGCTCGCCGCGAGTCGCTCTTCCCCCCCTCCGCGGCGGAAAAACACCCACCGCCTCTGCCAGCTTCCGCGCGAAGGCGCACGGATTTGCGGGGCTCCGCTGCATCGAAGGCAGCGGCGGAAGGGAGCAAGCGGGCGGCGGACTGAAACCTCCGCGGACTGGGCAAAACGGGAAAACCGTCCGCGACTTCGCCACTAGCGCGGCAGCGGCGGCCATCACTGCGGAAGCGGCGCAGAGCCTCGCCCGCCGGCCCTTCCGCCCGCGGCGGGCCCTTCCGTAATAACCCCCCAAACGGCGAATCCGATGCGCGGCGCGTTGCCGCCACCGCCGCGGTCGCGTCGCCTTCCAGCGCGAATATTCCCGCCGCCGCAGAGGCTCGTGGGCATCAGCGGGGAAGCAACACTAGTAGTAGTAACGCCGTCGCTGCGCGCAGCTCTCGCGGCTCCAATGCACTGCCCGCGCAGAATCAGTATGGGTCCGCGCTGGCTGGGTCCGCGCTGGCTGGGTCCGCGCAGGCTGGGTCCGCACAGGCTGGGTCCGCGCAGGCTGGGTCCGCGCAGGCTGGGTCCGCGCAGGATCAGGACAGGTCCGCGCAGGCGGCTGGGTCGGCTGCATCCGCGGGGACAGCGGCTGCTGCGAGTGCGCGCGGAATGAGCGCCGCTCCGGAAGCTGCCCTGGCGCCGCAGGTGCAGCAGCAGGCCCAGAGCACTGCGGTGCAGCAGGCGCAGCAGGTGCAGCAGCAGGCCCAGAGCACTGCGGTGCACGACTTGCGAAACGCCGCGCGCGAGCGCGAGCGCGACCCGGGGAACGTGCGCAGGTTGAGAAACGCGCGCATCTTGGGGAGCGTGCGCGATCTTTGGAACGTGCGCAAGCAGGGGAACGCCGCGCGCAACCTGCACAATGCGTATGGCGCGCGCAAGCAGGGCAACGCACCCGACCAGGGCAACAACCTCGACCAGGAAGGCACGAGTGTTTGTCTTCTGCCTGCGGCAAAGCGGATGCGCGGCGTTGCAGTGGGTCGAATAAGCGGGCACCCAGGCCATGGTGGGTTCAACCATGCCTCTGCTGCCGCCCCTGGTGCCCCTGGTCGGGCTGGTGCGGCGTCTGGTGGGCCTGGGTGTGCTGTTCCTGCTGCTGCTGCTGCTGCTGCTGCTGCTGCTGCTGCTGCTGCTGCTGCTGCTGCTGCTGCTGCTGCTGCTGCTGCTGCTGCTGCTGCTGCTGCTACGCCTCCTGCAGGAGCACCTACTGCTGATCCACATGCGTGCAACACACTGTGTTCCCTCCCTCCTCTTGCACCTCCACCTCCCTCCACTGCACTCCCTCCTTCTCCTGCCCTTCCCCTTCCTCCCACTGCGCCTGCCATGATACCTGCTTTCTCATCCCCCCTCGTCCCACCTGCATCTGCCGCCGCTGCCGCTCCTGCTTCTCCCCTTCCGGGTTCTTCTCCCACTGCGCCTCCTCTCCTTTGCCTATCGCCAGCATTGCACGTTACAGCTTGGCAGGACTGCACCGCTCCCACTGTCAGACCCAAGCCGTGTCACTTCGACCTGTGCCTCTCCACTCCATCCGCCACCCTCACCCCCCTCACGCGTTTTGAGTCGACTCAAAACCGGCGGCACAGTACTGCTGCACCCATTGTCAAGCCCGAGCCATATCACTTGGACCTATGCCTTTTCACTCCATCTGCCTCCCTCACCACCCTCACCACCCTCACCACCCTCACCACCCTCACCCAGCAATCGCTCTCGAGCTATCCTCCTCAGCACCCTCCCCCTCTCCCATCAACACCCTCGCTTGATCCTGCTCCACCCTCCCCTCTCGCCTCCTCTTCAACAGCGCCTCAGGGCCCTACTGGTGCAGCTGTTGCTTCAGATTCTGCCTCTGCTGTTGCTGCTCCGAATCCCACCACTCTCAGTTCTGCTCATGCTCATGCTCCCATTTCTTCCCCATACCTACCGCATCAGCACAGTCTACCCCCATCGCCCATGTCTGCCTCTACTGCTCTGAACATCTCAGATCAAGCGTCGGCGCTGGGTTTTTCCTGGGAAACTTCGCAGCTGCTAGCTGACATAGAACGCCGTACCAGCGCATCATTACTGCCGGAAATATCCGTTGCGAGGGGTGATGACGCCATGTGGCAGGCAGCGGTTGGTCGGCTGAACGAGGCATTGGAAGAGATCAACTCGCTGAGGCGGATTGTGGCTCGGCAAGAGGTGCAGCTGATGGTGCAGCAGAAGCAGCTTCAGGAGGGGCAACAGCACCAGCAGCAGCAGCACCAGCAGCAACACCACCAGCAGCAGAAGCAGCAGCAGCAGCAGGTGCTGGCTTTCATTTGATATCTCCAAGTTCCATCGATAGTGCCTGCGGTGCAGGGAGGAGCATCATCACATAGGACAGAGCCAAGCCAAAGCAGCAACAGGACTGGATGTAATCACATACTGGATCCATGCGCGCAGTAATTGTTTTTGTTTTCCGTTGAAAACACTGGTATTGAACTCTTTTGTTGGGTAGGATAGAGTTAGGAATTGCAATGTCTAAAAATATCTCAGGCTCCTGCTGTTTCTGTTTTGCTTTCTTGCTCTGTAACGCGTATATCGGTCAGCTCGTCGGCACTTTCTAGAGATTCGCCCCGCATCCCTCCCCACAGAAGCCAGTTTACGGTACACGTTCCACTGCTGCTCCCTGCTTGCCCACCCCCGTCCCCCGCCCGGCCCCCGTCCATACCACTCTGCTCTGTTCCGAAGGGGGGACCCCCTCACTTGTCTCGAGTCGCTCGACTGTCGATTCGACGCGCCGCCCGGTACAGCTCGGCTGGCGGGCCCACAACGGCTGATGTGTCACCACCACCACCTGGCGAGGCCCTAGGTTCCTCCTCGACTCTACTCTCTCCTCTCTCCTCTTTCGAGGCTCTCGAGTCTCGAGTCTCTCCACTCCACCCGTTGCACCGATTTCCCCGCTTCTGCGCGGCTCTCTGCTTCCTCTGACTCCCCCATCTGCCTCCTCTTCCGCCTCCTCGTCTGCCTGCCTCGTCTGCCCTGCTCATCTGCCTGCCTCGTCACATTCAACACGACGGCACGTGCATGGCCCTAGGCTCCGCCACAGTATCTCCCGCCTGCCTCGCTTTCCCACCTCGCGCATTCTGCCGTCTCTCGTCCGTCGATTCTCCCACACGCCTGCCGATCCAGCCGTTTTCCTTCGCTGCGCCGCCAGTCGTTGCGGCACGAGGCCGCGCACTAGAGTCGCGCGCAGGACTAGAGTGGCGCGCAGGACTAAAGTCGCGCGCAGGACGCAAACCCGCGCTGCGCAAGAGCGCCCGCGCGGCCGTCGCACCCGCCGCGCGAGCTCGCGCGCGCAGGCAGATCTCTCCAGCGGACTCCGCGCGTGCGGAACGACGGGCGCGCGCGGCAATGGCGGAGGCGGAGAGCGCACCCGAACTGCCGCTGTTTTCGTTCGGCGTGGTGGCGGATATCCAATACGCGGACAAGGACACGCGCACATGTACGTTGGCGCCTGCCACTCCACTAGAGTGACTTTTGAGTCGACTCAATCACCACCTCTATACATTGCGCACACAAGGACACGCGCACGTGTACGTCGTCGCTTGCCCCCCGAGGAGGGGTGTTGGTGCTGTTTCTCAAAAGATCTCCCACCGGATTCCTGCCCAAATGGAGCCGTCACGCAGGAGGGTTCCCGCTCGTCCCCCTCTCTCCCATTTCCTCCTCCCCTTTCCCTTCCTCCCGCTGCTCCCTCCCCAACACACCACTCTCCTCTTCCCCTCTCCACCCCCATTTTTTGTCCCCCTTCTTTCCATCACCACATCTCCACTGCTTTCCCTCCAAACCCCCTCCTGCTGTTTTCCCCCACAACCAGCATCGGATGGCAGGAAGCAGCGGTATAGAAAGGCACCGGGCAAGCTGGCAGCAGTGGCGGCACCTTCCTGTGCTCCAGATTCATGTCTGTCCCCTTGCCCCCCTGCCTCCCTCCTCCGTTATCCCATCCCCCTCTCCTCCTCCGCATTCCTCCCCCTCAGCATCGGATGGCAGGAAGCAGCGGTATAGGGAGGCACCCGGCAAGCTGGCGGCAGCAGTGGCGGCGTTTAACGAGGCGCAGCCGCCCCTGAGGTACGGTGACGCCCCTGAGGTACGGTGTCGCCCCTTAGGTACGGTGTCGCCCCTGAGGTACGGTGTCGCCCCTTACGTATGGCGTCGCTCCGGTTTCTTACGGAGGGTTTTGGTTTGGAATTGTTTGGGTTGCGTGCTGGTTGAGGAGCAGAGCGTGGCATAGGAAGAAGAGAGCAGAGCAGAGAGCAGAGAAGAGAGCAGAGAGTAGAGCAGAGCAGAGAGTAGAGCAGAGCAGAGAGTAGAGCAGAGCAGAGAGTAGAGCAGAGCAGAGCAGAGCAGAGCAGAGAGCAGGGCAGAGAGCAGAGCAAAGGAGAGGATGGCTACCCCCTGTGTGCCCCTCCTCCCCTCTTTCCCCCGTCCCCCACTCTCTCCTCCATGCTCACGCAGTGCAGTGGTTGTGCTTGCGGGGCGACTCAGTGCATGGACGGGAGGGGCGACTCATAGAAGAACAGAACACTCGAGAGAGACTTCCCACTCCCTCTCCAACCTCGCACTCCCCTCCTCCCTTCCCCCTTCTCTTCTATTTTTGAGGGGCGTCTCAAAAATAGTGCGATGGCTGGGCTGGGCGACTCAGTGGATGGACGGGAGGGGCTCACTCAGTGAACATTCCCAAGTGACTTCCCACTCCCTCCAGCCACACACTCCCTCCCCCCCTCCCCTTTCTTCTTTCTCCCTTCCCTAACCTGCTCCCTGCTCCCCCGTGTGTGCAGTGCAGTGGTGACCCTGGGCGACATAGTCGACGGGAGGGAGAAAGTTTCCCACATAGTCGACATAGTCGACATAGTCGACATAGTGGGCAACTGCATGACCCTGGGCGACATAGTCGACACAGAGGAGAGCACTTCGATCGTTTCCCACTGCATGCCCCACCTCCCCCCTTTTCCCCCTTCCCCCCCTCCCTCCGTCCCCCGCTCCCCCGTGTGTGCAGTGCAGTGGTGACGCTGGGCGATATTGTGGATGGGAGGGAAGCACAGAGGAGAGCATTAGGATAACTTCTCTTCTCCCTGCGTGCCCCACTCCACCTCCCTCCTTTTCCCCTCCCCCCACACGCTCCCCCCACACGCTCCCCCCACACGCTCCCCCCACGCTCTCCCCCCCCACGCCCTCTCCCCCGTGTGTGCAGTGCAGTGGTGACCCTGGGCGATATAGTGGACGGCAGGGACACGGAGGAGGCCACTGTGGAGGACTTTAGAGTCGTGCTGGGGGAACTGGCCAAGGTGGGTAGGGCGGGCGGGTGGGGCGAGGGGAGGGGGCTGGGCTTAAGTGGGGTGGGTGGGATGGGGGTGGGGCGCGAGTGGGGATGGTGGCAAAGGGGAGATGGGAGAGACACGGAGGAGGCCACTGTGGAGGACTTTAGAGTCGTGCTGGGGGAACTGGCCAAGGTGCGGTGGGGCTAGGGGGACGGCTGGGCTAAGGGGGACGGCTGGGCTAAGGGGGACGGCTGGGCTAAGGGGGATGGCTGGGCTAAGGGGGACGGCTGGGCTAAGGGGCGGCGAGGGGAGAACGGGGCATAGGTGGCAAGAGGGGAACTGGACAAGGTGCGGTGGGGCGCGTGGGGGGTGTGGCTGTGAAACAGGTTGCACTCTATTTCAACCATCACAGCAGACAGAGGAGCTACTGCTGTCTGTCCCTCCCTCCCTCCCTCCCTCCCTCCCTCCCTCCCTCCCTCCCTCCCTCCCTCCCTCCCCTCCTTCCCTCCCTCCCCCCCTCCCTCCCTCCCTCCCTCCCTCCCTCCCTCCCTCCCTCCCTCCCTCCCTCCCTCCCTCCCTCCCTCCCTCCCTCCCTCCCTCCCCTCCTTCCCTCCCCCTCCCTCCCTCCCTCCCTCCCTCCCTCCCCTCCTTCCCTCCCCCTCCCTCCCTCCCTCCCTCCCCTCCTTCCCTCCCCCTCCCTCCCCTCCTTCCCTCCCCCTCCCTCCCCTCCTTCCCTCCCCTCCCTCCCCTCCTTCCCTCCCCTCCCTCCCCTCCTTCCCTCCCCTCCCTCCCTCCTTCCCTCCCCTCCTTCCCTCCCCTCCTTCCCTCCCCCTCCCTCCCCTCCTTCCCTCCCCTCCCTCCCCTCCTTCCCTCCCCTCCCTCCCCTCCTTCCCTCCCCTCCCTCCCCTCCTTCCCTCCCCTCCCTCCCCTCCTTCCCTCCCCCTCCCTCCCCTCCTTCCCTCCCCTCCCTCCCCTCCTTCCCTCCCCTCCCTCCCCTCCTTCCCTCCCCTCCCTCCCCTCCTTCCCTCCCCTCCCTCCCCTCCTTCCCTCCCCTCCCTCCCCTCCTTCCCTCCCCCTCCCTCCCCTCCTTCCCTCCCCTCCCTCCCCTCCTTCCCTCCCCTCCCTCCCCTCCTTCCCTCCCCCTCCCTCCCCTCCTTCCCTCCCCTCCCTCCCCTCCTTCCCTCCCCCTCCCTCCCCTCCTTCCCTCCCCTCCCTCCCCTCCTTCCCTCCCCTCCCTCCCCTCCTTCCCTCCCCTCCCTCCCCTCCTTCCCTCCCCTCCCTCCCCTCCTTCCCTCCCCCTCCCTCCCCTCCTTCCCTCCCCTCCCTCCCCTCCTTCCCTCCCCTCCCTCCCCTCCTTCCCTCCCCTCCCTCCCCTCCTTCCCTCCCCTCCCTCCCCTCCTTCCCTCCCCTCCTTCCCTCCCCTCCCTCCCCTCCTTCCCTCCCCTCCCTCCCCTCCTTCCCTCCCCTCCCTCCCCTCCTTCCCTCCCCTCCCTCCCCTCCTTCCCTCCCCTCCCTCCCCTCCTTCCCTCCCCTCCTTCCCTCCCCTCCCTCCCCTCCTTCCCTCCCCTCCCTCCCCTCCTTCCCTTCCCCTCCCTCCCTCCCATTGGAAATGCATCCACTGCCTCTACTACGCACGAACCAGGCTCTTCCAACCAACCTCTTGCTCCCTCCCACACCTGCCTGCGCACATCCTCCCTCCCTGCACCTGCACCTGCACATGCCTGCAGGGCACCACGCTATTGGCAACGCAACCACTGCCTCTACATGCCAACCGGTGCCTTCCAACCTTCAAGTGCATACTCCCTCTCCTTCCTCGCTGCTCCCTCCCATACCCTCCCATACCCTCCCATACCCTCCCATACCCTCCCATGCCCTCCCATACCCTCCCATACCCTCCCATACCCTCCCATACCCTCCCATACCCTCCCATACCCTCCCATGCCCTCCCATACCCTCCCATACCCTCCCATACCCTCCCATACCCTCCCATACCCTCCCATGCCCTCCCATGCCCTCCCATACCCTCCCATACCCTCCCATGCCCTCCCATACCCTCCCATACCCTCCCATACCCTCCCATACCCTCCCATACCCTCCCATACCCTCCCATGCCCTCCCATACCCTCCCATACCCTCCCATACCCTCCCATACCCTCCCATACCCTCCCATGCCCTCCCATACCCTCCCATACCCTCCCATACCCTCCCATACCCTCCCATACCCTCCCATGCCCTCCCATGCCCTCCCATGCCCTCCCATACCCTCCCATGCCCTCCCATACCCTCCCATACCCTCCCATACCCTCCCATGCCCTCCCATACCCTCCCATACCCTCCCATACCTTCCCATACCCTCCCATACCCTCCCATACCCTCCCATACCCTCCCATACCCTCCCATACCCTCCCATACCCTCCCATACCCTCCCATACCCTCCCATTCTCCCATTCTTCCCCCCAGCTGCACGTGTCTCCAGTGCATCACGCCATTGGCAACCACTGCCTCTACGTGCAAATCAACCTCTTCAGTCGCCTTCCTCCGTGCTCCCTCCCATACCCTCCGATCTTCCCCCCAGCTGCACGTCTCTCCAGTGCATCACGCTATTGGCAACCACTGCCTCTACGTGCCGCGCTGCACTCTCCTGTCCAGCCTGCATCTCGCCTCCCCTTACTACTCCACCACTCTCCCCAACCACTGGAAACTCGTAAGCAAGAACCCACCTCTGATGCCCCTCCCCGCCTCTGCTGCCCCTCCCCGCCTCTGCTGCCCCTCCCCGCCTCTGCTGCCCCTCCCCGCCTCTGCTGCCCCTCCCCGCCTCTGCTGCCCCTCCCCGCCTCTGCTGCCCCTCCCCGCCTCTGCTCCGCTACCGCTGCTACTCCCCCTCACCACGCCTGTTTGCTGCTGCTAGTCTTGTCTGTTTTGACTTAACTTAGAATTCATGAAGCCTTCTTTATCAATTCCATTCTCCCTAACCACCTCTCCCTCTCCCCCCTCCCCCCTCCCCCCTCCCCCCTCCCTGCGAACCCCTCCACTCCACCCCCCTCCCCTCGCACTTGTGTCCAATCGTGCTCGACTCCATGGACGTCAGTCAGTCAGTCTCAAGTGACCCTGCCAATGCCCTGCCAATGCCCTGCCAATGCCCTGCCACTGCCCTGCCACTGCCCTGCCACTGCCCTGCCACTGCCCTGCCACTGCCCTGCCACTGCCCTGCCACTGCCCTGCCACCCCCTTCTGCTCTTTGTCCCTTCCATTCTCTATAACCACCTCTCCTTTCACCTTCCCTCTCATCTCCCCCCCCATCAGCTCGTGCTCGACTCCATGGACGTCAGTCTCAAGTGGCCCTGCGACTCTGAGAACTATCAGGTGAGTGCTGCAGCAGCAACTATCAGGTGAGCGCTGCGCTGCAGCGACTTGAGTCAGGACGGTTTAGTAGGGTAGAGGGGGCAAGGCGGAAAGAGGGCAAGAGGCAGCAGAGAGGGCAAAGTGCAGAGAGGAAGAAGTTTGTATTGAATTGTTTGTTTCTAGAGCAAGGGGCAGAGAGGGCAAGGAGAAGAGAGGGCAAGGGGGAGAGAGGGAAAGGGGCGGTGCAATTCTGTTCACTGAATCATATACCATGTTGGAGATTGTAGGATCCTCGATCCTACAATCATTTACCACCTTGGTGCGAATGTAAAACTGGGAAGGACATGAGAAGGCTTACAGTGATTTACTCCCCCCTCCCACCCCCACCTTCCCAGACCACCCCCACCTCCAGGGCACGCACAAAGCTGACTTCTGAGTCAACTCAAAAGTCAACCCCCACCTTCTCAGACCCCCCCTCCAGAGCATGCGCAAATCCCCCCAAATTAGGGCCTGATAATCCCTTGAGAACACGCCCTAATCCCTCTCCTCCCCACTAATTCCGTTCCCCTTTCCCTTTCCCCTTTCCCTTTCCCCTTCCCCTTCCCCCTTTTCGCCTTCCCCTGTCCACTATCGGTCCCCTTCCCCCTCCCTCTCCCTCTCTTCCTTCGTCCTGTCTCTTCCGCCCGCCCCACACCCCCCTTACAGGCAGCCGAGGCGTTTCTGGAGGCGCGGAGGGCAGAGGGGCAGGAGGGGAGTCACCTGGTGCCGTGGAATCGGCTAGGCCCATAACTCTCCCTCTATAACTCTCCTCTCCCGTCCACTTCCCTCCCTCCCCCCGCCTTTCCCTCCGCCCATCCTCTTGCCCTCTCTCCCCGCCAGGCAGCAGAGGCGTTTCTGGAGGCGCGGAGGGCGGAGGGGCAGGAAGGGGGTCACCTTGTGCCGTGGAATGGCGCAGTGGGGCGCGCACAGATGGAGTGGCTGCTGCAGGAGCTGAGACTCGCAGAGGAGTGAGTGGGGGGAAAGTGGGTGGGGGGGGGGGGGGGAGGGGGAAGGGTGGGGGAGTGGTTGGGGGAAGGAGATGGGGAGCTGGAAGGGAATGAGTGAGAGGGGGAGAGAGTGGCTCTCTCTTAGTGCATGCACACGTGTGTGTGGCTCTTCCCACATATACATGTAATTGCATGTATACATGTGTACTATGGCCTGCTGTTGCTGCATGCTTGCACATCTGTTCATGTGTGTTGGTGTGCGATGGTGTGCGGTGGTGTGCGGTGGTGTGTGCGCAGGCATGGAGAGAGGGTGGTGGTGGCACTGCATCACCCCGTTGCAGTGGGCTCAGCTCCCGATGACCTGCTAGCGTGGAACCACCAAGAGGTGTGTGTCAGACCCAGGGCAGGCAGAGCAGAGGCACCGCCCTGCCCGTGTGTGATGTACACACTCCTTGGCCTTGCATCACCCCGTCGCACTGGGTTCCACTCCTGAGGACTTATTGAGCTGGAACCATGCACAGGTGTGCGCCGCACCCTGCTCACTTGAGTTTGTGCCGCCCCGCTCGCCCCGCTCACTTGGGTGTTTCCTTATTCCCACGTTGAATCTATCTCTGGTTCACATTTCACGGATGCATTTGTCAATACTCTCATCTTTCCCCCATTATCCCCCTCTTTTTCTCCAAACCCATCCCCCTGCCTTCACCCACTCTCACTCCACTCTCCTCCATCGTCTGCCCTTACCCCCTGCCCTTCTCCTCCCATACCGTCCGTCCATGCATGGCATCAGATCTGTGACGTGCTGGTCAACTCCCCGCCAGTCGCCCTCGTGCTAGCAGGTGACCCCACCTGCACCGCTGCACTTGCACCGCTGCACCTGCACAGCCCCACTCACACCGCCCCACTCACACCGCCCCACTCACACCGCCCCACTTGTTTGTGTACCGCACACCCTCAACTGCCCTTCTGTTCTGATGCATGTGGATTATCACTTCCTCACACACGCATCCTCACCTCATCCTGGTCTGTGCAATGCCCATCTGTGACTGCCCTTCGTCATTCCCTTCCTCCTATCCCTTTCCCTTCCTTCATCATTGCCTGCCTTCATTCCCTTTCGCTTATTGCCCTGCCCAGGCCACTACCACTCAGGTGTTCCCTCTCCTCCACAGGCATGTTAACCCTTTCTCACTTCCTTACTTCCCTCCGTCGGTCTGCTCTCTTCTTGGAAATGTGTTAACTGCACAGGCCGCTACCATCCGGGCGGCTATGTGTGCATGGGCGGCAACTCACAAACCATCCCTCTCAGCACATCTGCTCCTCTCTCAGTCCACTCATCCCCTCTCTGCCTTCTTCCCTCTGTTCGCTTAACCTTACTGCCCTCCATGGCCACTACCATCCGGGCAGCAATGTGTGCATGGGCACTACCATCCGCGCAGCAATGTGTGCATGGGCACTACCATCCGGGCAGCAATGTGTGCATGGCCACTACCATCCGGGCAGCAATGTGTGCATGGGCACTACCATCCGGGCAGCAATGTGTGCATGGCCACTACCATCCGGGCAGCAATGTGTGCATGGGCACTACCATCCGGGCAGCAATGTGTGCATGGCCACTACCATCCGGGCAGCAATGTGTGCATGGGCACTACCATCCGGGCAGCAATGTGTGCATGGGCACTACCATCCGGGCAGCAATGTGTGCATGGCCACTACCATCCGGGCAGCAATGTGTGCATGGCCACTACCATCCGGGCAGCAATGTGTGCATGGCCACTACCATCCGGGCAGCAATGTGTGCATGGCCACTACCATCCGGGCAGCAATGTGTGCATGGGCACTACCATCCGGGCAGCAATGTGTGCATGGCCACTACCATCCGGGCAGCAATGTGTGCATGGCCACTACCATCCGGGCAGCAATGTGTGCATGGGCACTACCATCCGGGCAGCAATGTGTGCATGGCCACTACCATCCGGGCAGCAATGTGTGCATGGCCACTACCATCCGGGCAGCAATGTGTGCATGGCCACTACCATCCGGGCAGCAATGTGTGCATGGCCACTACCATCCGGGCAGCAATGTGTGCATGGGCACTACCATCCGGGCAGCAATGTGTGCATGGCCACTACCATCCGGGCAGCAATGTGTGCATGGCCACTACCATCCGGGCAGCAATGTGTGCATGGCCACTACCATCCGGGCAGCAATGTGTGCATGGCCACTACCATCCGGGCAGCAATGTGTGCATGGCCACTACCATCCGGGCAGCAATGTGTGCATGGCCACTACCATCCGGGCAGCAATGTGTGCATGGCCACTACCATCCGGGCAGCAATGTGTGCATGGCCACTACCATCCGGGCAGCAATGTGTGCATGGCCACTACCATCCGGGCAGCAATGTGTGCATGGCCACTACCATCCGGGCAGCAATGTGTGCATGGCCACTACCATCCGGGCAGCAATGTGTGCATGGGCACTACCATCCGGGCAGCAATGTGTGCATGGCCACTACCATCCGGGCAGCAATGTGTGCATGGCCACTACCATCCGCTCCCTCCAGTCCACTCTCTTGCTTCCTTTCTTCCCTGGCCCCCTTTCCCTAATTTCCCCCCACAGGCCACTACCACCCGGGCGGCTATGTGTGCATGCGCGGCAAGCACTTTCTCACTCTCGACCGCTCCCCTCCTCCCGTTAACCTCATCTGCTCCCACTTTCAGTGCACTCTCTTCCTTCCTTTCCTCTCTTGCTCCCTCTCCCCGGCTGCTCCCCACAGGCCACTACCATCCGGGTGGCTATGTGTGCATGCGCGGCAAGCACTTTCTCACTCTCGAAGCCATTCTGGAGGCGCCAGAGGGCTCGGAAGCGCATGGGATCATGGATGTGTATGGTGACCGCATCGAGCTGAGGGGATCTGGGTTTGTCAAGTCGAGAGTGTTCCGATTGGACCAGGAGGGGGATGGGAGAGATGGTGTAGAGAATGAGTCTGAAGATGACTGTAAGGTGGTGGTAGCTGATACGGTTAAGGATGTGGTATGATGGAACGATATTTCATCTGTTACCTATCTTGAGGTGCGGTAAGAGTAATGGCAAGCAAGCCAAGTGTATACCCGGTTTGGTTACCATACCAGTGATGTATTTGTAAGGCGGTCATTGGAAACTCTTATGGGTCATGTTACATGTACATTATTTTGATAATTGTTCTTCAGTGTCTGCTTCATAACTTGTTCCCACTTCTGCTGGGTACACCACACCACACACTGCCCCTCAATTTCATTGTGTAGCATTACACCAGACCAGATCTCCTCAATCATCCCATCAAACCCTTCAACCAGATTGCATATTGAAGCGCGATTGAGCAGCATTACACAACTGTAATGTGCAATCATTCCAGATTTTCCCTAATGGCCTTTACATTGTTGTTGAACCAAGATAGGTAGGTAGGTACTAACTGACTCGCTAATAATAATTGGCTCGGAAAAAAAAAAAACCACGTGGGAAAACAATCAAATCGTCATAGATGACGATATGATATAAGGGTAGTGTAACTGAATAGAAGCTTATATATATACCTAAGGGTTAATAAACCCCAGGGTCCCATGCACTCCCCTAACTCCAGTGCAATTCAGCGTATTCTGGTGCGGTGCAGTGCAGTGCAGATAGGCGTTGAGAGCTTTTGAGCGGTTTGCATTACAAGATGGTGCAGCACTTGTTGATGTCCTTGGCTTGCTTCACAAACATCTGGAGCACAGATGAAACGTGAGGTGTGGGGAGTGGTGAGGGACAAATTAATAAAGGCGAAGTTAAGGAGAAAAAGGGAGAGAAAATGAGAGGGGAGAGGAAAGGAGAGGAGAGGGCAGAGAGACAGGGGAGAAAGGAAACGGTGACGAGAGAGACGAGAGAAGGGAGAGAGGGAAAGAGGGCAGAGAGAGGAGAGAGGGCAGAGGTGGCAGAGACGGGAGAGAAGGCAGAGAGGGCAGAAACCGGAGAGAGGAGAGAGAGGGAGCGAGAGAGGGCACAGGGCGCATAGAGAGGAGATAGGGGAGCGAGAGGAGGAAAGAGAAGGAACAGAGATGAGAGGGGGCAGAAAGCACAGATAGCGGAGAGAAGGCCTTGAGTCTGCATGAATGGTAGCTACTCGCACGCACGTGACAAGGGAATGACAGGTGACAGCAGCACTTTAACGACAGCTGTGCTGCTTTGAAGGGAGCTGTCGTTTCTAAGAAAAAAAATAGAGACAGACAAGGATGGAGACAGGGAGAGCTCTGAGGTTCTTGAATTTGCAGAGTGCAATGAGCAGAGTGCAATGGAGCAGTGGTGGTGTGGTGGTACCTTGGATTGCACACTGAGGTCGTTGCTCATGGATGCAAGGTTCTCCAGTGTCTCCCCTCTGTTGAGCATCTTGTGAATCGTTGTTTCCTGTTAACATGCACACATGCACGCATTGACGCATGCACACATGTACACGTGCACACGTGCACACATGCACACATGCATACAAACACACCCATACGGAAAAGCAAGGGATGGAAGAGGTTGACGCTTGGTACGATGGTTGTGACACAGGAATGAGAAGCAGCACTCGCAACTACAGCGATGTCAGTGCCTGCAACAGTCAGCTTGCTGCAAACACCCAATCTATCCTCCTCAGCACCTTCTAGGCGCCTGTGTGCCACCCTACCCTCCCCTCACACCTTCCCTCACCTCTTCCCCCTTGCATCTCCCCTTGCTCGCTCAACATTGCTCAGCACCTGTACGTCCCCCTCACCACTACCTCACTCAACTTCCTGCCCCCCCCCCGCTGCCCGGCACTGCACTCACCACAGCTCTCTTGGTCTCGTCAATTTCGCTCTGCACCTTGGCAATCTTATCCACGTTCGCTGGGTCCTGGGTGGGGGAGACGAGCAGGGAGGGCAGGGGAAAGGGGGGACTTTTGGGTCAAATCAGAAGCCACCTTAGTGGCTTGGCTTCACACTCGTTCTGCACCTTGGCGATCCTATCCACGTTCGCTGGGTCCTGGGGTGGGATAAGCCGCACAGGAGGGGGTGGCGAAAAGGGGTGACTTTTGAGTCGACTCACGAATCACCTTGCTCTCGTCGATTTCGTTCTGCACCTTGGCAATCCTATCCACCTTCGCTGGGTCCTGGGATGGGATCAGCAGCACAGTAGGTGGGAGGGAGAGGGAAAAAAGGGAGAGAGGAGCGATTCGAAGAAGGGAGAGGGGGGGGGGGAGGAGATAAGATGGGTGGCAATAAGGTGGGGTGGAGGTGGAAGTTGGTTGAGGTGGGGTGGTGGTGGTGATTGGATGGAGAGGAGCAGGGTTGGAAGAAGAGGAAGTGAGAAAAAGGGAGCGGGATAGGCTAAGAGAGAAGCAGAGAGGAAGGGAGTGGGACGAAGAGGCCTAACAGGGAGGAAGGGAGGTGTAAGAGAAAGAGGCCTAGCATATACACACATACAAACCCAGGGCAAGGCAAAAAAATATCTCTCTCCCCCTCACTGCCTCACTCCCTCTCCCACTCACTCCAACACAGATGTATGCATGCAAGAACGAGCACATACACACACACACACACACACACACACACACACACACGCCGCCGCCCCCCCTCCCCCCCTTTTCCCCCCACACACACGCACACGCGCGCGCACACACACACCCACACACACACACCCACCCACCCACCTGGGCCTGCACGAGCAGCTTGTCAAGCAGCGGCACAGACTTCTTGTTGTCCTGCTGTATGCTCATCCACCTGTGCTGTGTGCAGAGTTGGACATATACACACACAAACCCACCCACCCATTCACCCACGCACCTGCGCCTGCACGAGCAGCTTATCAAGCAGCGGCACTGACTTCTTGTAGTCCTGCTGCACGCTCATCCAACTGTGAGCACAAATGGGCATATACACGCACAAACCCACCCACACAAGTGTCCACCCACCCACCTGCGCCTGCACGAGCAGCTTGTCAAGCAGCGGCACAGACTTCTTGTAGTCCTGCTGTATGCTCATCCACGCGTCGCCCTCCGCTCCCATGTACTCCTCTGCCACCTGATGTGATGATTACTCACAGACACCGCACATGCACAGGCACAAGCGCATGTGCACGCATGCCGTCACATCACACATTCGCATGCATGCATGTGCATGTGCATGCACAGGCACAGGCACAGGCACAGGCACAGGCACAGGCATGCATGCACGTGCACGCACGCACGTGTGCACAAACACGCCGTCACATCACACATTCGCATGCAGGCACATGAGACAAGCACCACAGGCCCCACACTCCCCACCATACGACAGCACACACACAGCACAAATCAAACATGTTGAGCCTCATAGTATAAATGTACACCTGTCCACGGCCTTATGCAAAACATCAAGAAGGGCTGGAAGGGATCGGGAGAAAATGGACAACACAGAAGGAGGATCCATCCAAACTGGAAGAATTCCGAGTGGATCGGGTCGGTTGAGTTGGGAACCATACATATGAGTTAAGCTTCTGAATGCTATTTTACTAGCAAGGTGTAACCCCAAAAGCCTGTTCTAGCACACACTTGCAACCTATAGCGATTCGAGCTGACACCCAGGCGTGTGCCGTGCGGCTCAAATGACAACACGAGATGAGGAGTTGACACGACATGCGATGCTGACATGGAATGCGATGCTGACATGGCATGAAATCCTGACATGGCACGAAGTGCACTAACACATCTGCTCCATATTATATCTCACAACCAAACCTGATTTGCACTTGTGCAATCACCTACCTCTTCCCTCTCATCCCCCACCCTCCCCACCGCTCTCTCTCTCCCTTGCTTCCCTCCACTTCATCCCTCCACTTCCACACACTCACGCTCTCCCCTTCCCTGCCCATTTCCCTCCCTTTCCCTCCACCAGTCCTCCCCTTTCCTCCTCCCGCTCAACTCCTTCTCAAGTTCCCCCTACCCCTCTTCCCTCCCCCTTACCTCCCCCTCCCCTCCCTATCCCCCTCCCTTTCCCCCTCCTTGCCCACCTTCTTGCACACAGCGAAGCCGCTGCCTCGCGGGTACGCCTCGTCCGCCACCACGAGCACCACGAGCCCGCTCTGGTTCACCACGTACACCACGTACTCTGCACCGGGGAGGATGGGGAGGGGAAGAGAGGACAAGCACCTAACCATGAGCACTGGCAACCAACCCGTACCACAAGCACCACGAGCCCGCTCTGGTTCACCACGTATACCACGTACTCTGCACCGGGGGGTTGGGGGAGGATGGGAGAAGAGAGGGTTGTTTGAGCAAGAGGGATGCTTAGCAGTGAGCCGCGCCTGTTCTGCCACCACGAGCCCGCTCTGGTTCAGCACATACACCACATACTCTGCACAGCGGGAGGAGATGGGGGAGGATGGCGGGATGGGAGGATGGGAGGACAAGCAGTGGGGTCCAGGAGCTCTGTCACCACGAGCACCAGCAGCTCGCTCTGGTTCAGCACATACACCACGTACTCTGCTCAGCGGGGACACATTAGGGGAGGATGGGTGTACACGGGAGGATGGAAGGATGGGATGATGGGAGGATGGGAGGATGGGAGGACGGGAGGATGGGAGGACGGGAGGATGGGGGAAGGATGGGAGGATGGGAGAACGGGAGAAGGATGGGAGGATGGGAGGATGGGAGGATGGGAGGATTGGAGGATGGGAGGATGGGAGGATGGGAGGATGGGAGGATGGGGAAAGGATGGGAGGATGGGAGGATGAGAGGATGGGGGAAGGATGGGAGGATGGGGGAAGGATGGGAGGATGGGGGAAGGATGGGAGAGGAGGGGTTGTAGGAGAGTTGGAGCAAGGGAGGGACGACAATCCTAATGAGGGACAGTAACCCGGCCGAGAGGAAGCTCCGCTAGAGCAGCAACCCGGCCAGTCTGATCCACCACGTGCACCACGTACTCTGCACCGAGGGAGGAATGGGGGAGGATGTAGGATGGGAGGATGGGAACGGAAAGGAGAGGGTAGCGGGAGCGACAGGGATCGGCGCATGTGAGGTATGACTGATGCATTACCGGCAGCACCACCATCTTCTTCTGATTCACCACGTGTAGTGCAGGAGCTGAGGGATAACAGGCGATGATAAGAGGGGGGCTAAGTGGGGGAGAAGAAGGGGGTGGGGGAAAGGGAAAAGGGCGGGGGGGGGAGAAGGGAGGAAGAGGGGAAAACGAGAAACAGGGAGGCTGTTGTGAAGTACGCGTTATCAGCGCGCACCACCAGCCGGCTCGTACACCACCACGTACTCTGGGAGTGGGCATAGGAAAGAGGGTGTGACGATAACGACTGGGAAGAGACGCGGAGGAACGACGGCAAGGGATGGGAGGAGAAGAAGAGGACGGGAAGGAAGGAACGGTAACGCCGGTAACGCCAGTAACGCTGGTACTAGCAATGACGCCGATACGAGTGCGGTAAGCTAATCAGACGCGTTAAAATCCATCCCGTTTGTACCTCGTTCCTTAACCGTCTGTCTCTGGTTGTACGGCGCGCTGCGCGAAATCGTGCGACAGGCGAAGAGAATGAACTCCTTCGCCGTGGATCGCTCGAAAAAGGAGAAGTGCGATACGTCCATGGCGCTGCCCAATAGGATCGGCTGGCTGCCCGCCATTCGCGGAACCCTAAACAGAAGAATCCCCGTCACCTTCATCTCGCAAATATGCGGCGCGAGTGACAGAGAAAAGGACAAATGTAATGAGGCGCGAATATGCGCAGGCGATGGGGTGCGCAGTAAGACGGAACGTGTCTGCGATACTAGTTAGTACTCTGAACGCTGTTAGAAGTGCACGTTGCTACGCGAGTCTGCGATAAGTTGCCTCAGCTAGTAAGGACGTTCCGTGTAAAGGGCACGGAATGGAGAAGTGGATCGAACGTGGACGGAGGGAGGAGAATAAAGATAACGGAATCCGTTAGCGTCGAAGCAAATCCAAGGTGAGATGGAGGGAGAGGGCCCGCGGGGTGAAACAGAAGAAAACAAGCCCGAAGCGCACGCTGTTTCGCAAGGAAGTCAATCGCCGATTGCGATTCCTAATTTGGACTTTGCGAGTAAACGGTGTGGTTGAACGAGCTGGGGAATAACAAGACGACGCACTTAGTTCGCAGCAAAACACACACAAAAATACCGTCGCGATAATCGGTAGCTACGAAAACGAGATCACGACGGATGAGGTCGCTAGTATGCTTTGCCTTGTCGAGACAAACGAAACTGCTCCGTCATAGAGCGGAATGGGTGGAAGTATCGTCCGTCCGCAACTATCGCTCAAGTCGAGACACTCGGACGCGAACCACGAGCGCGGGAAAGCACGGCGGTTGTGTTGTCCGAAGCTAAAAGGAGATGGCAGACGAATCAATTGACCGCAGCGAGCTTTTACTTCACCGCACGCACACGGCAACGCAATGCAAGGCAAGGCAAGCCCAGGCAGGCGCACCAGGGCCCATGCATGCACAGGCAGGAGAGATTCTGATGGGGGGGTACGCTTGCGAATTTGGGCGATTGGGCGAACTGCGGTAACACTAGCTGACGACAAGGAGGGACGATTACTGGCTGCTGTGGGATGGAAATGACCGCGAATGGCGGAGATCTGTGTTCCATTCTGATTTGTCCCGGCGTACAGGTAGCGTCGAGCCTAAAAAGGATGCACAGGACGTTTGTTTCATGAAACACAACATGACTTGGTCATGTGTTTCCCCAGTGCCCACGCATTTCATTTGAACAAACCCAGCATTGCATCTGAAACGAGACCCAGTATTGTGACGCCTTTCGTTTCATGATTGTTTCACCCTGAACGAACCACGTTCGAAGGACTTTGAGAAATCCATCTTCCTTGCCAAATTAGTATCGAGAACAACACAACTTGGAACAAGAATCAACACAGAACCGCAACAACTCAAGTACTTTCTTTATTCGAGCAGTTTCTGCTCTTTCCCACGAGACATCAGCAACCTACCCCTAGCTTCCGCTTACCGTCAATCGCGCCGTCAGTTGCTCCGTGTAAAGCTCTTTCCTTTCCTCCCGCTCTGTCTCGCTCCTCCATCACACGTCTCATCACCCCGTCATGGTTCCGACTGTTCCCTTGATCACCATCATCCATGCCATCATGCATCATCCGTTTGCGCTGCGACAGACCATTGGATAACGTTCACCATGCCGTTTCCCCGTTCACCCACCTCTGCATCCTCCCCAACACCATCGCGCATTCCGCCAACAACACCACCACCACTACCACCACCCTAGCCTCCAGTATCTTTACGCGGGGTACAACTCCCCCTCCGGTGTCCACTAATCTCCGCTACCTTTTCTCTCCACCACCTTACGACGACTTACCGAACCCCTCTGACGGCATACCAACACGAACCTCCCCTTTATTGAAACCCTCCCCCCTTCCCTGCCGCGATGCCTCACTCCTCTTCCATTCGCACAACTCGGTTCCCTACGGATCATACTCCACGATGCACGCTCCCACATGCACTCGAGACGCGCTGGTCGCTGCGCGCTCATTATTTATCCGCGCTCTGCCACTACCGCTTCTCTTGAGTGAAGCGGCCGCTTGCGAGGAAACCGCCGCTAGCACCGTTCCTCTCCCCCACTTCCTTAGTAGCGCTGTCCCACGCCGCGCCCGGTGCGTAGACGGGAGGCGAGTAACGGTAAGCCGGAGGGGAAGGCACAAGGTCAGGGATGTCTTTCCGTCCCGACAATCCGCACCACCCTCCGAGAGCATCCAGTCCTTCGTCTCCAGGCGACGGGCAGAGCGGCGCCGTAAGAAGGGCACGTGGAGAAACATTCACAACGTTGCACGGGACGCCGTTGGTACTGCTACCGCGAGCGGCAGCGACGGCGCTGAATGCGGCGAGGTTTTTATTATTGCGAAGAAATGACTTGAACGAGGTGCGCGAAGCGTTCTCGGGATCCGCTTGGCAGACGAACGTTCCGCCGCTTCTTGATTGGTCGGCGTAGACGTCGCACGACGAGTCTCCGTCGCAGAAGGCCCAGATGAGCGTGAGGACGAAAGCGACGACGATGGCGACGAACGGGAGGAGGTTGATGGCGAGAAGAAGCAGCGCTAGCGGAGACATCCCCCATACTTCCATGGTGACGTGCCGTTACGCCACAAATGTGGCAACGACGAGACGATTCAAGGGACTGAAGTTCGGCGTAACGCAGCTGCAAGCGGTGTAATGTGCAGGATTCAGAAATGTGTAGACAGCCGATGACCCGGTTGGTGTCGCCTTGCCGTCTGAATCAGGCGCTGCCAGAGAGCACAAGCAAGGACGTTGACGGGATCGCTGCAAAGCTGTTTGATTGAAAGGGAAAGAGATATTCCGGATTATTGCTTCTGGGAATGTGTGTAGAGCTGCTTCTTGTGAAAAAATGGAAGACTAAACTTCAGCAGGCTTGAATTCAGCAGACGCTGTGCGTCGCAAAACTACGAAGAAGACTCTTCGCCAATAAATAAAAATTATTTGAATCCATGGACGGAGTGCAGTATAAGCCATCACCTCCCTTCACTCTTGCTGTGTATCTTCTCGAGACGTCACGCCCAGTTTCGGGCTCACGAGATGAGAGACGACGTCGTCTCGTCAATCGATGAATGAACTACAATAATTGCGGTTAGAGGGGTGAGTTGCTGGTGGAGGGATGAGCTCACTGCATTTCAGGAAAGCACATTGGCATCGGCGCACCGCGTTTCGTGAATCACACAACACAGCAACAACACACCGTCCTTGCGGAAAATTTTCCTCGTTGTGACGATCGTTCTTTTCAATCTGGGCCGCAGGACACGATAACGCCAATAAATCCACAAAACTTTCCACCAGTGCGGGGCGATCAATAATGGCTCTGTTCTGTAGGGCCTGGCGGTGGGGGGGCGAGTGGAAATAGGTAGCTTCCCCCACTGCGTTTTTTGGGTTCGGAAGGCGGTCAGCCCGCAAAACGTTGCCGAGCCAGCCATTTCCCCTCCGAACCTGTTCGAGGGGAAATGGCTACAGAACAGCCATTTACCCTCGAGGGTTTTGGCCCATCGGAAGCTACCTACTTCCCCCCTCCACCTTCCTTCTCTGGCAAAAGTCAAGTCACTCGCTGCCCTACGAAACCCGCTTTTTCAGGGCGGGGCGAGTGACATGGGAGGGATGTAGAGGGGGTGGGGACACCCATCAAATACCCAAGGAAGACATGCACGGATGTTGCGCTAGTCCTACCCAGAGATGCACAACTCGTGCACAGGTATACACGAACTGGAAGGAGAAACAGGGCGGTCACGATTCTACGAGCGAGGGCGTCAGAACGGAGAATCCGAAGGGAATTCTTGAACGCGACAAAGGCGTTCCCCAAAACTGGAATAAGGACTTAAAGCCAGGATCTCAAGTAAGAGAAATTGGCTTCAATTGCAAAACACTTGCAGCTCGAGTCACCCTGTTTGTTTAGGCGAAATCGAGTGGTTGGGTTGGAGGTTCAGTGTGCGACTGATCCCCGATTTGCCCGTGAATCTCAATTGCAAAACAAATTGCTGTGCATGAGATTTTTCGGCAAGTGAGACACATTGCTGGGAAATGAGCTTCGGAACCCAACCAGATTTCCGTGCCTAGTTGGTTCGGAAGTTCACTGCGATTTTTGTTTGCTTCGCATCCCTCGTTTCAGCTCTCGTCAACTACTCTACCTCGTCAACCAATCACAGCCTAACACAATTCACTAACTGCAAAACAGCCAAACTACTTGAGATCCTGGCTTTAACTCTGGCATGGTTCACCCTACTTTTCCAATAACAAATTATTTAACCCCATCAATATTTGTTCGACATTTCTCAGGTGAAAGGTGCTTGCATTGCTCCCTTGGATTCGTCTTTGAAAATGCCAGGGAGGACATAGCGCTGTGGAGATAATCTCCAACAACAAAAAAGGAGGCAAGCCGTTTGCCTAGCAAATAAGTGTTACTCATCAGCAGTCCCTGCTTCTTCTGCAGCTTGCATCTCCTTGATTATGCGTGCCCTCTCAGCTGCCTGCAAGAGATCATGACACCAAACGATACAGATGGTTAAAACCAACGACCATGTTGAAGGGAATCAAGTTGAACTGCTAACAGCCAAACACATACCGGTACATGACAAGCAAGCACCACTTAGCACCACAGACGATATCCCATGCTACCATGCACTCATCCTTCCTCTGCCCACCTGTCGCATGCGCATGAGAGTTACACTCTCATAGTCTCGATACGACGAACCCGCTGTTGCCATGGCCGGCCTAGCTCCAACTCCCACCCCACCTCCTGCTCCTCCCCCTTCTCCTACAGCTGCCCCATTTTTTGCTCCATTCGCTTGAAAGCCACCCATACCCGCTCTACTACTCGCTTCTCCTGCTGGCTTCGCCCCTCCATCTCCCCTCATTCCACTCGTGCCTGCACCAGCACTGGCCCCAACACCAGCACTGCTGCCAGCTGCCCCCATGCCAAAGCCACCAGCAGCACCATGAGTCCCAGCCCTGGCTCTTGCAGCTGCTGCATCTGCCGCTGCTGCTGCTGCTGAGGTGGCTGCAGCAGCGGTGGTAGCGGAAGGACTGAAGGGGGTGTCAGCGCCCCATATGGTGGACGCTGCAGGTGCAGGCACAGCTCGCGTGACTATAAGGGGGTTTGTGGAATCGCCGCAGACAGAGCGGGTGGCGGCTATCTGTTTAGGCCAAAAGAGAAGGGGGGAAGAGAGGAAAAGAGGGAGGGGAGGGGGGTGGAGGAGGGAGGTAGGGGAGGAAGGAGGTGGACAATGTAACCAACATTCGTCACATGCACACATGTGAGCTGTGAGCATGCTTAGGCCAACGTTAAGGTAAGAAATGCCGCAAAAAGGATATGATGTGGGGATTATGGCCAGATCACTCACAAACCTTTACTAACTTTCATGCTAACAACCAGTCCCTCCCACTCGGCCCGCTCACTCCCACTTCTCATTCACTCCTACTTATTCCCACTGCTTGACCTGTTTGCTCACTCCCATCCCACCCTCACACGCCCCCCATGGCGTTCCCAACTCCCCTCCCATCCCCTCACCCTTCTTCCCATACCCCTTTCAGTCAGGCCCTCCTTCCCTTCCTTCCCCCCTCCCTCTCTGACTCACCGCAGCTTCCTTAGTTGCCATCACCACCAGAGCACTGCCTTTCTTTCTCGCCTTGCCCGCCTTACCCCCTTTACCCTTGCCCTTCGCCGCATCCCTCACCACCACATCCTCCACCTTTCCAAACTCCTCAAAAACCCGCCACAACCGCTGCACACTATACTCCTCTCCCGCCACCCCTGCTCCTGCGCCTCCTCCTCCCGCCCCCCCCTCCCCATCCTCCACCCCTCCTCTCAACCAGGACACCTTGAGCGTCCGCTCCATCTCCTCTCCAACCACCCCTGCTCCTCCCTCCCCATTCTCCGCCCCGTTCCCTCCACTCCCTCCACCCCTCGCAGCGCGCGCAGCAGCAGCGGCAGCAGCAGCAGCATCCGCTGCTTCCTTCCTGATCCTCTCAATCTCCGACTTTAGCCGCTGCTTCGCTCTTTCCTCCTCGCTGCGCTGCCGCTCCGCCATTTTCTCTCTCTCCGCCAGTTCGGCCACCATGCGCTGCCGCTTGCTGCTCTGCTGGCCCAGCTTGCGCTCGCGCTCGCGCCGCACCATGCGCAGGTCGTCATATGCCTTGCGCGCCTGCTCGTCTGACAGCACCTCGTACGCCTTCTGCAGCTCGTCAAACTCCGCCGCTGCAGGGGGGGGCGGGGGGGAGGGGGGAGGCGGGACAGTGGGGGGGGAGGGAGGGAGGGAGGGAGGGAGGGGGGGCGGGAAGGGGGGGGCGGTGGGAGGTGTCAAAGGCAATGAAATTGAGTGAAATGGAGTGGAAGGGAGTTAGAGGGGAATGGAATCGGGAGAAGGGAGTGGAAGGGAGTGGCAGGGGTGTGCCGCTTGCTGCTCTGCGACCCCAGCTTGCGCTCGCGCTCGCGCCGCACCATGCGCAGGTCGTCATATGCCTTGCGCGCCTGCTCGTCTGACAGCACCTCGTACGCCTTCTGCAGCTCGTCAAACTCCGCCGCTGCAGGGGGGTGGCGGTGGAAGGGAGTGGAGAGGAGTGGAGGGGAGTGAAAGGGATTGGAAGGGAGTGGAAGGGTGCAAGGGAGGGAGAGGCAGGGGAGTGACGAGGAAGAGAGAATAGAAGTCATGCTGACCACGTCTTTAGCTCGTTCAGCACTGCAATTGCACGTGTGTCGTGTGATAACGTAACCAGGTAACCACATAGTTTGCAAACGAAAGTCACAGCTCCGCGAACGGAGCAGCTCAACAGCGATTGGAAGCAGTGCGGAAAAAGAGGGCTCGGGAGGTGGAAGAAAGGGAGGGGGGTCCGAAAACGAGGGGGGCCGTTTAAATTGACGCTGAAGGGCAGATTGGCGGCAGAATAGGAAGGAGGGCACAATGAGAAAATTCCAATTGAGTTGAGGATCCAAAATCAGTTCTTTTTTTTTCAGAAAAGGACGTGAGGAATGGACGGGCGGATTTGGGCGAAGGGGGGGGTGGGGAAGGAGGGGATCAATGAGATTGTTGCGATTATGGAGCCAGCAAATGGATGAGTACGGGGGGGGGTCACGGTGAAAGAGAGCATTTTGCGAAGGCCCTAGCGCCGCTTGGTACCTCCTCCATATTCGAACCGAGGTATGTGGAACGACTCAAGCACCGGTTTCATAAGGGACGAGGGGCGCTAGAGCGAGATTTGACGAGGCACAGTGAAGGGAAGAGTTGCAACAGAGGAAGACGGGTGAAATATAAAGAGTCGCCCAAAGAGGCACGGCACATTTGCCCTGATGATACTGCTAGAGCCGAAAAACTATTCTAGATTGACAAAGAGTCGAAAAGCACTCGGCAAAGCTGCGCGCAACAGTTAGATGCTTAGATTCCCCTCGTACCTGCTGCTTTGTCGCCTGGTCGCTTGTCAGGGTGCAATTCAAGTGCGCGCTTTCGATAAGCCTTCTTGATTTCAACCCCGGTAGGAAAAGCCGCATCGCCCTCAATCTTCAACCCTAGGATCGCATAAAGATCCGCATCGCCTAGCGACGACGCCATGGCTTCCGATGAGAGACTGTTACCCGGACTGACGCTTGGAAAATAGAATACCTAAAGCACAGTGTTTCGAATTTGTGTGTTCACCGTTTTGAATCTCGTGAAGTAGACGCGAGATCTAAAATTTGACGAAACCTCTCTCAAACGGGGACAGGAAAGTGGCAATATCGCGTTCAATTGCTGCGAAGTCTGGTTCAGCCGCTTCGGTTTTGTTTGTCGTTTGAATTGTAAAATTTGATTTCGAAGACCAAGCACTCCGGCCTGACAGTGATTTTGATTCTAGGCGATGGTCAGCGCGTTCATCTGCTGTTCATATATCGTGGTGCAAAACGATTCTGAACTTTACACAGCGGTCTTCAATCTTCATTTCTTAACACCGTGACGAAACGAGAATAACCGCACAATACCAACGAGGGACAAACGCGCTGAACCTGAGCTACCTCTTTCAACAAATTCATTTGTATCACAAGCTCTCCAGTGGTGGTTGACTTGAGCATTCAATTCAGAATCATTTGTACAAGCTGTACTAGCTTCAACCATCTCACCCACAAGCCTGTGTTCGTTGCGTCCATCTCCTCCCCTCCACTCGCGTCGCGAATCCCTCCTGAGATTTGCAATGCCTGATCCACGCGCGGTCCTTTCTGCTCTGACAAAAACCAATTTCGCGGCCTCTGTGCATCAGTTCATCTATCAATACGGGACTGGTTTGTACCTTCCTCACAACAATTTATCCCGTGGGCATGGGTTCGCGGCTTCCCCGCGGCTGCATGCCATTGAAGCGTGTCTTCGTTCTTCCGCAAGTTCGGGAGCGATTCTTGAGGCCAGGCAGGATTCAAGTCTAGCTGCGGAGGCGTTGGTCCAACTTGTGAGTGGATGTTGTGATTCTCAGGTGTGCCTCAGCCCAAGTATGGGTAATAACAATTGACTAAGACAGATTTTCGGCGAGCGGACAAGGTTCGCAGCCACAGAGCCTGAAGCATTCATCAGAATAGTTCAGACTTTGTGGGTTCTTGAAGACGAAGGCGTCATTGGCCCGAGGTATCGTTAAAACATACTATTAAGGCATTCAGACAGTGTTGTCTTTCATTTGTTCATGTCCTTCTCCGCTTTGCGCAGCTCTTTAATAAACGATCTCAGTATTCAGTCACTCATGTACGCACCTTGGACGAGAGGTACCATAAATCTTGCGGCCAAAGCAATCTCAAGCATGTTCATATCAGCAACTTACCAAAATAAGGACGTCCTTGGTAAGTTTTCTCTTCGATTGATTGCTTTGCACTGATTTATGGTTGTGTTCACGACTGCGCTTTGACAGTCCAAGCCGTTCTTCACGCTGTGCTCTATTCTCCTGAGGACAATGAGGACAATTTACTTCACGAGCTCTGGAATTCTGGCATTTGTTCATCCCTACCCGAATCTGAGATGCGGTCTCAAGTTGTCCTATCGGCCATGATGGAGATTGTAAGATTGAACTGAGGCGCATTTCGGAGTATGCCTGGTAGTTTAACAAACTAATCAATGAAATGAAACAGATAAAGCTGCCAGCCATAATGCATGGAGACACCCTGTCAAAACTTGTTGAGGTCATCAAATCAGCAACACGATCAAGGCATGTTCTGGATGGCATGTATGTACTGCGTACTCTTTACACCTGACATTGTCCACCATTTCAGATTTGTGCATTCCGGAGTTCTTGAAGGCATTTCGGGCATCTTTGAGGAGGCTGAAGCTTCAAAAGAAGTCTACATCAGGTACCTAAGTGACAACGTTTCTTATGTGTAATCTTTCTACATATTTCTGATGTCACTGACAACAGCGCATGTCACACAATTGTTTTTCAGAGTGTATGTCCAGCTTGCTGAGCTTGACACCAGCGACAACATTTCCAAACACCTGTTCACCAGTAAGACATAAATGGGAGTCATTTCAGTTTTCTACTAACACGTCTGAACTTACAACTGTGCAACACTTGGAGCAGTCTCTGGTCTACTGAGGAAGGCAGATGTTCCACGAATGGAATTGCAGCAGGTCATTTATGAAACTATTGACAGACTCAAACGAAGGCTTCCCCAGAGCATCTACAGGGTACGTTGAACAGAAGCAGTTGTTGCACAGCATCTACGGTATGCCCATTCTCATATCATTTTTTATGTACAGGAACCTTTCAAACGTGCATTTTCTTCACCCTGGGCGAATGAGGAGTAGATTCAACAACAGATAGCGCCACCTTCTAGATGGTTGCTGGAACAAATTTCTGGTGCAAAAGCCAATTCTTATCTGTATAATGACTCTGCTCGGATATTGTATGCCAGCTGTGACTCCCAACGATCCCCGTTCTCAAGAAGCTTTTGCTTGTCATAAAGCAATTCCTGCATGAGAAACAAGGCAGTCATGTTTATATTAGATATAATCATACTTTCAAGGCCCAAAAACCTAAAGCAAACAACCAAACTCTTACCTCATGTGTTTCAGTTGCAAATTCCAGGTTTGGCCCTTCCACAATGGCATCAACAGGACAGGCTTCTTGGCACAAACCACAGTAGATGCACTTTGTCATGTCTAGATCATACCTGCCACAGAAACGAATGATGCATGCTCTCACCAAATTGCTCAAACAAAACAGATTCCGTCAACAACCTAAACTGTTCAACTCCGCACACCTAGTCGTACGACGGCTCCCATCCTCCCGAGGTTCTGCTTCAATAGTTATGGCTTGTGCAGGGCACACCTGGTAGACAACAGAACCGAGTTGTTAGGAAGGAAGAAGGTACCAACATTGGCGATCTTCAAGGCCTGCTTGTGCAGAGACTCACCGCTTCACACAGCTTGCATGCAATGCACCTCTCCTCTCCAGTCTCGTAACGCCTCAAGGCATGTTCACCCCTGAAACGAGCGCTTAGAGGGCTTCTTTCAAAAGGATAGTTGATCTGCCACGAATTCCACAAACACACAAGCAGATTAAATATAAACTTGTGCTTCAGGGGGACTGAAGAAAGATGCTGTCATCAAAGAATCATGATATTACTTACCGTGACCTTTTTGTCAAAGAAGTATTTGAGCGTCATACCCATGCCACGAAACAGCTCTGTCATTAAGAGGGTGCCCATGTTCTTATCGAGAACTGCATGTTCAGTGAAGGAGAAAGGGACCTTCAAGCACACTGAGTATCGTACCCACTAGGCAGATATTAATCAGGTCAGCAACGGACCTTTGGACGACAATCAACAACTCACGGGTACTCAGATCAGCTTCTTTCGCCACCTTTGCCGCATCTCGAGACTTCGTGGGCGTTGAATCTGCGCAACATGTAAACAAACCTCTCTCAATACAAACAACTCCTGAACGAAAACAAGTAGAACGCGCTAACCCCCTCAGATGTACAGAAGAAAATATCGTTACCCTCTCGATGCGCCGTGGCCATCATCCTTGACCCTCTGAAGATCCTCGCACAGCTGCCTCTTTCAAGTTCTTGGCACATCCTTAACGAACCAACTCGAAACGCCATTGCGAAGACTGAAGTGTCTCGTCTGGACAAGCTGTCGATCTATATGACTATTAACTGTGCTTCCCTAAACCTCTCGCTTCCAGCTCGGGCGCTGCTATTAGACACAGCAAGCCGATCTTTCTTCGGAATATACAAAACGTCTCCCAAGCTAACCTGGGCCCACCGAGAATTTCAGCCACCATCGCTCTTGGCCGGCCCTCGTAGCGCATTTTGCGTGTGTTGTGCTAGCGACTCCCAGCGTAAACCGCACGCCATGCACCATGCACGAGGTGAACAAAAAAGGTTGTTATTGAGTGCGGGCGTCAAAGTACGGTAAAGTTGTCCTTCAACAACATCCACACGGATTAGGATTACTTATATGATACTTGCGCGTATGTGCGGTAATACTTACTGGAGAAATGGAACATGTCAACAATTTCACATACGGTTTACACCTTTAAAACTGTCAAACTGAGTATACCATAATTCAATCCCTCATATAAATCCTCAGGGTTGTGTGTTCTAAACAGGCACCTTGTCCATTTAGAGCAAAATGTTAAATTTGACCAGCAACATAGGTAGAGAACAATCAGTGATACTGGAAGGTAGAATGTACATTTGTCTAGACATTTGACATGCCAATATACATGTGTTAATGCACATCAGGCACCTAGTATACATTGCAAGATTGCACACAGCTATCTAAGAGATACATACTCTAGAAGCTATTGAATACTTATCTATTCTGTACTTCCACAGAGAAATATTTCCCTGTGCTTACTTCTGTGGCGCCAGCAGCTTCAAGACCTCCAAGAAGGTCTTGCTGCTGCCTTAGTGGTGCTGCCAGCATTGCTCCTCCCTCTGCACTTCACAGCGTGCTCTCTCTCCTGCTGCTGCTTCATGCTGCTTGCTGTGGGCTTCTGGTGGGCTAGAGCACCACCACGCGCATTCCATGCCTTCCCCTCCACACCACCCACCTTCACACGCGCTCCTGTGCTGCCTACCTCGGGAATCCGCCAGGGCAGAACCACTCTCAGCAGCGGCAGCAGCAGTGGCATGAGCAGCGAGTGCAGCAGCAGCAGCAGCAGCAGGGCGGCGTGCAGTGTGTTGAGTGCATCAGCAGTGGCACCACCTGATCCCACCGCCACCAACCACCTGCCGCCATCACTGTATATCCTCACGTCCTTTCCAGAAATCGTGTCGTTGCTGACAGAACAGCTGACTGAACTCGTCCCGTTGCTGCATGACGTCTCAACGTGGTCGCTGACAGTGCTCGTTTGGGCGCAGTCACTCCGCGGATCCTCCTCTGCTTCCTCCTCCTCTGCAACCGCCGCGAATTCAGTGGGGAAGCTCAGCGGCACTTGCAGCTGGGACAGCTTTTCCGTCGACTCAGAAATCGCCTCAGAAGTCTCCTCAAAAGTCGCTTCAAGAGTCGCCTCCAGAGTCGCTTCAACAGTTGATTCAGAAGCCACCGCGCATGCAGTCGCGGAGCTCGGCGTCACTTCAACTTGCACGCGGGACGGCTTAACCCCTTCGCGCTTCCTCCAGAGGCTCAGGACTTCCGCGAACGACGACGAGGTGTATGCAGGCGCGGAAGCGTCGGCCATTCAACCGAGCGAAGTGTGAGGACGAAACCGAGCGGCGGAACTAGCAGAGACGAACCTTGAGGGAGCACTGGTTGCTGTTGCAGCCTTGGGTGCAAAGCTAGAAGTACCGGAGAGAGCTGAAAGCTTAGAATGTTCTGATCTGGCAAGGATAGTAATGCTGCAGCTGTGGGAGCTGGCTGGAGAGTAACGAGATAGTACGAAACTGGCGATCGAGGTCAGCTGGAGAGTTGAAACCGAAGAAGAGAGAGCGATGAATGATGGTGAGTAGAGGGAGTGCGGGTTTGTACTCGCAGAGGCGATCGCAGGCGACGGGGGGAGAGCGAGAGAGGGTTGCTGCGTCAAGGCGGGGTGGAGGAGAGCCGAGGCACTGGGAACTCACGCAGCGGGCAGTCGCTGTGCGGACTCGCAGGGGAACGAAGCTAATTCCGAAACAGTGTCAACCCTCTGGCCGTGGCCTCCGGGGAAGTGACAGAACGGTTCAGTCCGGTTGATTTTCGTGTCCAGACGGTGAGGCTCGTTCATTCGAACCGAACCTGCCGGTTAAGCGATTATGCAGGAAGGAGTTGCTAAGCGATTCGCACTGGGAACTCACAGCAGGCAGGCACGGGAACACGGACGGAACAAAGCTATTTCCGAGGCCGCTGGCCTTGGCGTCGGGGTACGTCACAGAGTGGTGCAGACTGGTGCTTTGGCTTTTCCAAACGGTGCGGATGGTCCACTCGGGACCAAGCCTGCTGGCTAAGCGATTTTGCCGGTTGTCGTTGCGACGCGAAAGCTTTGCCATTCCTGACCCCGCTGCCCATGAGGATCTGCGTCTGCGAAGGCGGTAGGGAGTCGCAAGGGCCCAAAACGTATGCGAATCGCATTTGCGACAGGGTAGACAGACGCTAACGATGCAAACTCGACTGGTTACTCTTCGGGAATCACGTGTTTTGAAATGGCGGGAATTGACCGCCAGGAACTCTATGCTTCTTCAGTGTGTAAGGGCGTATCTCTGGTTCCGCTAACAATGCTCCAACATTATCGGGATCTGTCGGCAGGGAAACTATCAGGGTGAGGATGAACTGGAGTTGGAAGGCGGGGGAATTTGTGCTCGATGTAGTATGCTTCTCGATTCTCACGAAATAGAAACGTTTGAAAGGGCCAAACAAGAAGCATCTTTAGATTGAAGCTGACCTTTGCTCTGAAAGAGAATGAGAAGCTACTTATTAATAAGACTACAACGGTCATACAAGGTCCATTCATTTCTATAAAACTTCACACACCTAGCACCAACTCTGCGTTCTAGCATCCTTGGGCACTTAGAGCAGTTAGCATTTGGCAGCTGCTTAATATCCTCTCTGTCACCTTCTACTCGCTTCATTCAACCACGAGTGGATATCTAACACTACTTCAACTACCATTCCTGCCTTTGCAAGCAGCTGAAAGGAGCACAACCACGAAGGCATTGTTCCATGGCTACAACCATTGAGTCCAATCAACCGTCTTCCTCCTTTCCTGTACAAGATTTCCTCAGATTCCCTCAACCCATATCGGAAGGCAGCAGCAACATCGGCCCTTTGCTTGATGAGGTCTGCTCGTTGGCTCTTCCTCACTGCCTCCACCAGCCACGTCACTCCCTCCCTCACCCCCGTGCTGCACACACAACACAAAGGCATGCACAGATGGTTGTAAAAGCAGACACACAGTCAGACACACTCTCCCTCTCTCTCACACAAACACACAGACACACTTGCACACACATGCACTCACAAACACACAGACATACATGAGCAGGCACACACATATGCTCTGGTTTCAGCATAGTCACTGAGTAGGGCCAGGGCAGTTAAGCCACACCCCCAACAATACCACGATTCAACTTAATGTAACGCTGCATGCACCCGCATTAGATATCGCGTCTCAGAGAAATCACAGCGCAACAAAGCCCAGTCGCCCCTCTTCGTCTTTTAGCTATCCACATCCCTTCCGATCGCCAGGTTCCATCACTTACCTGAGCACCATTTGCATTGCTCAAACACACCTGACACCCTGAGCTGTTCCCTTCCACATCACCCCTCTCACTCAGCATAGTGCACCTTCAGCATTGCCCGCCTACCAAAATTCCTTCCCATGACGGTCAACCCCACCTTGCCCCCACCCATCCCTCCCTCACCCCACCTTCCCCCCTCCCCCTCCCCCTCCCCCTCCCATCCCCATCTCACCCATCATAGGCGCACACGGGCATGACCATGGCGGAGCGCCCCTTGAGGTCCCTCAGCTCCAGGCAGTGCGTCAAGTCCTCCTCGCCCACTGCCGAGGGTAGGTCCTGTGGGGTGGCGGTCACAGGCAGGTGGGAGGGGGAGGTGAGCCAGGGTAAAAGCGTGCAGATAGGTAGCGATGAGATGAGGCATTTGACAAGGGTGGTCCCTTGAGGTCCCTCAGCTCCAGGCAGTGCGTCAGGTCCTCCTCGCCCACTGCCTCTCTGGTAGGTCCTGTGTGGGTGCGCACAGGGTGGGGTGGGAGAGGGAGGTGGGAGAGGGAGGTGAGAGAGGAAGGTGGGAGAGGGAGGTGAGAGAGGAAGGTGGGAGAGGGAGGTGGGAGAGGGAGGTGGAGAGGGAGGTGCTATCCCCCTCCCCCTCCTATCATCATTCCACCTCCCCCACTAACCCATCTCCCCCTCTCCACACCCTGCGCCAGCACGATGCTGCTCTCTGAGCAGGAAAGAGGGAGCATGGCTCTGATACAGCCACACCACACTGCTCTCACACTCTACCTACTCTCACTACAATTAGGCAACATTCATTGCAGAAACGTTTTAACCACCAAGATCGCGTAGGCTTCAAATACGGACTTACAACACCTTGCATGCTTCCTCCTCCCACGCTCCACTTTCCCCATGCCTCCCTCCCACGCCCACCTCTGCCATGCATGGGGGGCCGAGGGGAAGGCACAGGGGTGGGGAGGAAAAGGGAGAATGATTGAGAATAGGGGGGTAGGGAGAAGCGAGGCAGAGGGGAAGGGGAGGGGGTGGGGAGAATAGGGTGAATGTCTCAGCCTGTTGTGGGAGACCTTGAGTCCCACCTTGCATCCAGGACTACCCTGCTCTCCCGCTTCTCTCTCTCTCATCTCTCCCCCTGTCAGCTCTTACCCCTTCCCCCCTCCCACCCTCGCTCTACAGTCCACACGCCAAACACCTCCCTCACTCGCCCCCCACTTCCCTCCTCTTCACTTCTCTTCCCTCCTCTTCCCTCCTCTTCCCTCCTCTTCCCTCCTCTTCCCTCCTCTTCCCTCCTCTTCCCTCCTCTTCCCGCCTCTTCCCTCCTCTTCCCTCCTCTTCCCTCCTCTTCCCTCCTCTTCCCTCCTCTTCCCTCCTCTTCCCTCCTCTTCCCTCCTCTTCCCCCCACTGTCTGCTTCACCTGGCCGCCCAGGCACCAGATAATGAACACAACCGCTCACATTCAGCACTCCTTGTCCTTCTCCCCCATTCTCTCCCCCTCAGCTCCTTTCGCCACCTTTCGCCTCCTCAGCAAAGGGCCTTTGGAGGAAAGCCAAGGACAACTCACCCGTGCTCAGATCAGCTTCTTTCGCCGCCTTCGCCGCATCTCGGGATTTCGTGGGCGTTGAACGTGAAAAAAGCTCTCTCAGAACTAACGACTGTAGAACAGAAGCCAGATACAACACGCAACCCCCTCGAATGTCCAGAGGAAAATCGTTACCCTGTTGAATGTACAAAAGTAGATATTGTTACCCTCTAGTTGCGCTGTGGACATCATCCTTGACCCTCTAAAAATCCTCGCATGCTCTCTCGGCAGATCGTTCCGGAACCAGCTCTGAACGCCATGGCAAAGAGAGGGGTGTCTAGACAAAGGCTGAGCTAATGACTAACTTATCGCTCCCCGCAACCTCTCGCTCCCAAACTCGGCCGCTAATAGCCAACTTTTTTTCGCAATAAACAAGACGTCTCCCAACCCAAGCTAATCCGAGCTCAGCGAGAATTTCAGCCGTGATCGCTCTTGGGCAGTCGTTGGGCACTTCGCGTGTGCAGCCCTCAGCGTAAACCGCACGCCATGCACCATGCACGATGTCATCAAAATTCCGTACTTGTAATTGAGTGCAGGGATCAATGTAATTTTTGAGAAGAGGGAACACAATCACATGCGATACACAGCTTCTATGATGTCAAACTGAGCGTACCATAATTTAATCACTCGTACATACCATACGTGGTTGTCATCTTAGGCTTGTGTGTCATAATCAATATGTAAAATTAGACCAGCAACTTAAATAACAATCTGTGTTGTACCACCTCACCTCATCTACACTCTTCTGCACAGCATGCACACTGGAAGGAAAAATATACATTTGTCTAGACATTTGACAGCCAATATACATGAGTAAATGCACCTAATGCACCTAGTATATAGTACAAGATTGCACGCAGCTATCTAAGAGACACAGACTCTAGTAGCCATTGGAGAAATTTCTGTTCTGCACTTCCACAGATAAATATCTCCTTGTGCTTGCTTCTGTGGCGCCAACAGAATCAAGGCCTCAAAGGAGGTCTTGCTGCTACCTTGGTGGTGCTGCCACCGTTCCTCCTCCCTCTGCACTTCACAGCGTGCTCTCTCTCCTGCTGCTGCCTCATGCTGCTTGCTGTGGGCTTCTGGTGGGCTAGAGCACCACCACGTGCATTCCATGCCTTCCCCTCCACACCACCCACCTTCACACGCGCTCCTGTGCTCTCTACATTGGGAATCCGCCAGGGCAGAACCACTCTCAGCAGCGGCAGCAGCAGTGACAGGAGCAGCGAGTGCAGCAGCAGCAGCAGCAGCAGGGCGGCGTGCAGTGTGTTGAGTGCATCAGCAGTGGCACCACCTGATCCCACTGCAACCTCCGCCACCAACCACCTGCCGCCATCACTGTGCATCCTCACGTCCTTTCCAGAAATCGCGTCGTTGCTAACAGAACAGCTGACAGAACTCGTCCCGTTGCTGCATGAAGTCTCGACGTTGACGCTGCCAGTGCTCGTGTGGGCGCAGTCAGTCCGCGAATCCTCCTCCGCTTCCTCCGCCTCCTCTGCAGCCGCCGCCGCGCTCAGCGGCACTTGCAGTTGGGACTCCTTTTCCGTCGACTCAGAAATCGCCTCGGAAGTCGCTTCAGGAGTCGCTTCAAGAGTCGCTTCAACAGTTGATTCAGAAGCCACCGCGCATGCAGTCGCGGAGCTCGGCGTCACTTCAAGATGCGCGCGGGACTGCGTAACCTCTTCGCGCTTCCTCCAGATGCTCAGGACTTCCGCGAACGACGACGAGGTGTATGCACGCGCGGAAGCGTCGGCCATTCAACCGAGCGAAGTGTGAGGCCGAAACCGAGCGACGGAACTAGCAGAGACGAACCTTGAGGGAACACTGGTTGCTTTTGCAGCCTCGGGTGCAAAGCTAGAAGTACCGGAGAGAGCTGATAGCTTAGGATGTTCTGATCTGGCAAGGATAGTAATGCTGCAGCTGTGGGAGCTGGCTCAAGAGTAACGAGATAGTACGAAACTGGCGATCGAGGTCAGCTGGAGAGTTGAAATCGAAGAAGAGAAAGCGATGAATGAGGCTGCGTAGAGGGAGTGCGGGTTTGTACTCGCAGAGGCGATCGCAGGCGACGAGGGGAGAGCGAGAGGGATGCTGCGACATGGCGGGGTGGAGGAGAGCCGAGGCACTGGGAACTCACGCAGCGGGCAGTCGCTGTGCGGACTCGCAGGGGAACGAAGCTAATTCCGAAGCAGTGTCAAGCCTCTGGCCGTAGCCTCCGGGGAAGTGACAGAACGGTTCAGTCCGCTTGATTGCCTTGTCCAGACGGTGAGGCTCGTTCATTCGAGCCGAACCTGCCGGTTAAGCGATTATGCAGGGAGGGGTTGCTACGCGAATCGCACTGGGAACTCACGCAGCGGGCAGGCACGGGCAAAACTAACTTGTGCGCTGTCGGTGTGCGGACTCGCATGCGATTTCGCGAAACGCGAAGGGGAACGAAGCTATTCCGAAGCTATCTGGCCGTGGCCTTCGGGGACCTGACAGAGCGGTTCAGTCCGGTGGCTAGCCTTTAGCTGACGGTGTGGATGGTCCATTTTGACCATCCCTGCTCCCACTGCTCGCGACGGTCTGCGTGTGCGAAGGCGGAGACGGTTTGGGAATCCCAAGAACACGCCGGGATCCCACCTGATCCCACTGCAACCTCCGCCACCAACCACCTGCCGCCATCACTATACATCCTCACGTCCTTTTCAGAAATCGTGTCGTTGCTGACAGAACTGCTGACAGAACTCGTCCCGTTGCTGCATGACGTCTCGACGGCGACGCTGCCAGTGCTCGTTTGGTCGCACTCAGTCCGCAGATCCTCCTCCTCCGCCTCCGCCTCCTCTGCAGCCGCCGCGCATGTAGCGGAGAAGCTCAGCGGCACTTGCAGTTGGGACTGCTTTTCCGTCGACTCAGAAATCGCCTCGGGAGTTTCCTCAAAAGTCGCTTCAAGAGTTGGCTCACAAGGCACCTCGCATGCAGTCGCGGAGCTCGGCGTCACTTCAAGATGCGCGCGGGACTGCGTAACCTCTTCGCGCTTCCTCCAAAGGCTCAGGACTTCCGCGAACGACGACGAGGTGTATGCAGGCGCGGAAGCGTCGCCCATTCAACCGAGCGAAGTGTGAGGCCGAAACCGAGCGGCGGAACTAGCAGAGACGAACCTTGAGGGAACACTGGTTGCTGTTGCAGCCTCGGGTACAAAGCTAGAAGTACCGGAGAGAGCTGAAAGCTTAGAATATTCTGATCTGGCAAGGATAGTAATGCTGCAGCTGTGGGAGATGGCTCGAGAGTAACGAGATAGTACGAAACTGGCGATCGAGGTCAGCTGGAGAGTTGAAACCGAAGAAGAGAGAGCGATGAATGATGGTGAGTAGAGGGAGTGCGGGTTTGTACTCGGAGAGGCGATCGCAGGCGACGAGGGGAGAGCGAGAGGGTTGCTGCGACAAGGCGGGGTGGAGGAGAGCCGAGGCACTGGGAACTCACGCAGCGGGCAAGCACGGACAAAACGAACTTGTGCGGTGTGCGGACTCGCAGGGGAACGAAGCGAATTCCGAAGCAGTGTCAAGCCTCTGGCCGTAGCCTCCGGGGAAGTGACAGAACGGTTCAGTCCGGTTGATTGACTTGTCCAGACGGTGAAGCTCGTTCATTTGAACCGAACCTGACGGTTAAGCGATAATGCAGGGAGGAGTTGTTAAGCGAATCGCACTGGGAACTCACGCAGCGGGCAGGCACGGGCAGAACTAACTTGTGCGCTGTCGATGTGCAGACGCGGTTTCGCGAAACGCGAAGGGGAACGAAGCTATTTCCGAAGCTATCTGGCCGTGGCCTCCGGGGATCTGACAGAGCGGTTCATAGCCTTTAGCTGACGGTGTGGAAGGTCCATTTTGACCATTCCTGCTCCCGCTGCTCGCGACGGTCTGCGTGCTGTAAGGCGGAGGCGGTTTGGGAATCGCAAGAACACTAAACGTATGCGAAGCGAAACGCAATTACGGCGGGATGGACAGACGCCGCCGAACCAAAACGGGTCTGGTTACCCAACGCACTTCGAAATGGCGGGAAGTGACTGCGAAGAAGTAATTTTGAATCGACTTCCACGGCAGTGTCTAGGGATTCTTGAGATGGGCTTGTACTAGAGGGGGATGAACTCGAGATGGGAGATCAAGAATCTGAACTCTCTATAGTATGTCTCCATATAGCATTCTTGAAATATAAACATTTGAATGTGAACCACACCAAACCAGCTCTGCATCCAATCATGTCTTGTCCTCAAGGTGAAACATCTCTGTGTCTTCATTTTTTCGAGCTGGAAAATCTATCAGGTAGTAGCACCAATCATATATTACAGCTACTTTGTTCTACACCTTTATTGGGCAGTTGCGACCAGGCAGCATTTGACTTGACAGCTACACATGTCCTGCCACTTTTTTCTCACCACATACAACCACACTCACATATCTAGCACCGCTAAACCTACATTCTTGCCTTCACAAACAGCTGACAGGAGCAGCACCACTAAGTCTATGCTTCAAGC